TTTTCTGCTACCTGATTAAATCGAAATACAAACCCTCCTCGCAGACATACGCTTGAAGCGGAAGTTTGCTTAATAGATGCTTCAGTCAAACAAAGATTTTCGATTTGTATCCTTTTTATCAATATATTTTAAAATGTCTCCACTATCTCATCAGGTTGGGCTTTTCTGTCACTTAGGTATGAAGACCAAGGTAATATGGCCTTTAGTATGGTTCCTGTCTCCTATCGTCATATAGAAGTTGTTTGACCTTGTCTCCGCTACTTGGTCATATTGTCAGGAAGACCAGGATAGGCAAATTCCCCGTGATAGGAGAGATATCGTAACTGTTTGGCAGACAAATGGTCAAACGATCATCTTCATTTGTCTCTTTGACCACCACTTGTGGTGTGTTAGTAAGAATGACAATGTTCACTGAAGATGCCGTCGAAATGTCTGGTAACGTACATTAGCATGCATACTATGGACTATGGAAGCGGTGCGTTCCTCTAGGTCTTCCTGCCCATATGATCATGTTGCTAAAACAAGGCTAAACACCTTCGATAAAGACTATTGATCAAGTTCTAATGTTCGCATTTTTCCACGTTTCCCTTGAATATATTTGCCTTCCAAAATGTATTACCTATTTAGGGAAGACTGCAGTCCCGACGCTGCCTAGGTCTCATGAACACCCCCAGGAGAAAACCTGAGCGTGTTTGAAACTGCAGTAAACTCTGTATGCGACTACATGGAATTCAATAGAAACATTTGACCTACTCATATTATGTAAAAACTAAATTATCAGTTCTCCGTCCTCTTCCTTTCTAAGATGATTAAAGGTCTTATTCAGGATACATAGGTAGTTTATAAATATATGCAAGATATAAAGTTGAATAAATCAATTTAAATGTAAGCACTAGGTAACTTGGTGAGTTTCCATTTAATAAACCTGATTACTCCTTGTTCGTAATAGATTTCTAATGCGGCGACAGGCTCAAAATTTAAATATGGTGGGCCCTCTATATTGATTTCATCTCATTTTTTTAACCACTATTTTCAGGTTCACTCTGCGGTGTCGCTGTAAAGTCCGGCCCTGACAGTCTCTTCGTGTCCCATCCTTCAGGTACTATCTTGTGAATAAAAGCTTTCTGCCTTTTCCCTCATTCTCCAAATATAAAGCCATTAGAATTGGCTTGGCCTCGCTTCGTTAGGTGTAGGATTGGCATTACTTGTAGATCGATACCTTTTAATAAAGAAATAGCATAACTCTTGAGATGCTATGACTATTTTATTGCCAGCGTACTATTAAAGAAAAAGTGATAGACTTTCTGATCGAATTAGTATTGCAACTTGCACGACCTATGGAGTTATCAGCTCTGAAAGAGGGGTGTCCCAGTTTATTTTAGGAAAATAATACTTTGTTCAAAGCTGCACTGTTAGCTAAATGACATAATAATGAAACCTATTTTCTAGGACTGCTAATTAAGTAGCCAGCCCCTCGGGTGGAGCTAAAAAGCTACCTTATGTAAAGCATTTGCTTTTATAATCTTAAAAACAGCATGTTAACAACCTCAAAGGGTCATACGTCTGACGGAGAGATTTTAACAATTAGTTCCTTAACAAATGTAGTTTGTAAGTATGAAGACCGTTCACTTGGTGCACTTCTAGACGTCTCGTTCTCAGAGACAGAAAAGACAACATCCTGACTACGGAGTTAAGTGCATCAGGTAATATAGCCTTAAGAATCTTGTCTTCACAAGGCGGCAAATTAAATTACTTGCCATCACATCCAGCTTTTGTGGCCACTTA